CCCGCCAGGGTGCTTACCCTGGTCAGCCGCGTGCCAGAGGTTGCCGACCCCTAAACTAAGCACTTACGCATGTGCTTACGTCCCTATTTCTGAACGTGGAGGCCTGTGTGCAGAGCTTACCCAAGTGCAGTACGCGTTTGGCTGAACCCCTGAATGGGTTGTCACCGGGCGCAGAGTGCCACGGTGGAATGGACGCGTGTTACACACTTCCTTCTGAGCCCCAAGCCAGCTCAAATCCCCGTACAGGCCCCCACTATGTCATGCACCTGGGTGGATTGTCAGTAGCAGGGATCAGACTTGGGACCTCCGGATGTAAGGGTATGAGCTAGCCAAGGCTGCAGCAAACCTCGTCAATCTGTATGTATGGCCCAGTCACCACTAGGGGGTGCACCGTATGGGTTTCATTTGTTTTGGAGTATCGTTGATGCAAACGGAGAAAAGTGGGGATGTTGAAATTCCACCGCATGTCATCTTGCGTGGGTGGCTCAGACTGCAGCAAGTTTAAGCTTTTGCCAAACACAAGCTTGTTTTGCTTCAAAGATGAACTTACATTGAGCTTTTAAATCTGCATCCTCTGTGAAATTCATTTGGAAAATAATTACTCAAGATGAGGATTCAAAATAGGTCGCAGGATCTATTCAGGAAACGCTGGGTCAAATTCTCTGCCCTGTGTTGTGCAAGAGATCAGCCCAGATCATCCCAATGGTCAGAGCCGGCTCTGGCTTTTTTGCCACCCCAAGCGCAAAAAAAAAAGGAGCGGCAAAGCAAAAAAAAAAAACCCAGGGTGCAAAATTTCAGTGCCGCTTACTTAGCGGCTCGCGGCTGCCTGCCCCAGCCGCGCTGGCGAGCCTCTGGGCGGGCGGCGGCTGCACTCTGGCTAGCGGGACTCCCTGCACTGCAGACATGCCCCGGGCAGCAGAGTGCACGCCCTGGCTAGCGAGGAGGAGGGGGAGCGAGCGGGGGGGGGAGAGAGAGAAGGGGGGCGGCCAGGGCTTCCTTCAGCCGGGGCACTCGCCAATCGGCCGCTCCCGCCGCACCGCCTGCCAGGAGGGCTCCGCGCCGCTCCTGCCTGCAGGTGAATTGAAGGTCGGCAGGGAGGGAAGGACGGGCTGCCGGACTTGCTGCAGGCCTGGCACCGGCTGGGGCAGACGGAGCACGCAGCCCGCTCCCAGCAGGGCGCTCCCCTCCTCTGTGCCGCCGCCGCCCCCTACAGGGCAGCCGGAGCGGTGAACCAAAAAAAAAAAGGGAAAAAAGGGCGGCCGTGCCACACTAGGATTGTACGGAATGCCGCCCCTTAGGATCTGCCGCCCCAAGCACAAACTTGCTGGGCTGGTGCCTGGAGCCGGCCCTGCCAATAGCCTTTTCTGGCCTTAATCTATAAACCTAGGTGCAGAATTGAAAATTACTAATAGTCACATGTTCCAGTTGAAAGGAGAATAATTTTCAAATTATTAATATTAATACAATTAGTAGCACTTAGATGCCTCAGCTGACATCAGGGCCCCTTTGTGCCCAGTGCTGCACATGGAAGGAGAGATTACAAGGAAATAACTTTCAAATGACGAGTAATTGTTGTTAATTACAGTAGTGGTTAGATTCTCCATCTGAGATCATGGCCCATTGTACGAGGTGCTGCACATGCTCATCTTTAGAGATTAAAATGGAAACTTCATAGCACCCCATATAGTTTATTAAGAGTTTTTACCAGGGAGATTTTTTTTTTTAAACTTGGTGTCTTTTTCTACCCCCAGGTTTTGCAGAAACTGGGCAAGACGGTAGAAACCAAAGATGAGCAGTTCGAGCAAAGCGCTTACGATTTCCAGCAGCAACAGGTTGGGTCTGACTGAAGGGAGACGAGATCCTGAAAGACATAGGGACCGAGGGTGGGGGAGGGGTCTTCTAAAATATGGGAGGGGCAGGGACAGTGGGGGGGGGGGTTCATCTGAGATATGTGGGGGAGGGTCGCTGAACATCTGGAGGGAGGGGGATTCTCCTGAAATATGAAGGAAGGAGCGGCGGTGGGGTATCTCCCATATAGCAGAAGGGGAGTAGATCAGGAACTAGGGGGAGAGGGTGTCTGATGAGATATTGGAGAGTGGAAGTGGGGCAGGGAGGGGTGAGAGAGAGGCTGGTTTTCTTTCCAAGTCACACTCTGGTGTAACCAGCCCCGGCTTGAATTCCAGCAGGGCAGATTTCTTTGAGTCCACTCGTACACTTTGCTCCATTCCCCTTCCCCACTGTGGCCGATGCGGTGAATTCTGCCTCTCGCTGTTTGTAGTAGAAGTGCAGGGTAGAACACCAGCTGCTGACACGCACCCTCCCTGTTGCTCTTTGCTTTTCAGATTGAAGGCCACAAACTCTACAAGGACCTTAAGGCTTTCCTCAGTGCTGTGAAAGGTATGAAGCTCCAGTTCCTTCTTCAAATTTACCTTTTGCTGCGTGGCTCCCTGCCACATCGCTGCTGACACACCATGCGGCCAACCCCAAGCCTTAAAAAAATCATGAGACTGGCCTAAAAATCATGAGAATTTAAAACAAAAAAAAATGGAGGTTCTTTTTATTTGGCTTCTGAATCTCTTGAGTCATGCTTAGATCACATTTTCAAGCCTTTCTCTGCAACCATGAGGTCTAGGAACATTTTTTTTTTTAAACGAAAGCGGAGATTTTCACCTAACCACATGACTCCAGGAGCTGGGGCTTTAGGGAAAATATCAAATAACTCAAGACTTGAGATAAAATTGCAGGACTGGCAACACTAAGTGCCTCGTTTGTTTTAGAGCGAGAGGTATGATACTTTTTAGCATTCCAAACCAGGTCTGGGAGCCAGGCACCACCATGTTCTAATCCCACCTTTTATACTAGCTCCCTCTGTGGCCTTGGACAGTTGCTTTGCTTCACTGGCCCTGTCTGTAAAATGGGTATCTATTTAAGTTTTTATATGGCCCCATCAGTGTAGTTTCTGAATGTTTCACAGTCCTTAATGGGCTTCATCTTTCCAGTTCCCCTATGAGGTAGAGCAGTGCTATCCTCTCCATTTTACAAATGGGAAACTGAGGCACAGAGTGACTAAGTGTCTTGCGTGAGCTGGGTGTAGAACCTAGGTCTCCTGAGTCCCAATTCCACTACCAGACCACCCTTCCTACCTATATTTGCCATACCTCCCAGTGTTGGAAGGCTACAGTCTTAGGGCTGAAATTTTCAAAGCCTTCCTAGGGGATTTAGACACACATCCCATTCATTTCAGTGGGGAACTGTGCATCTCAATTTCCTGGGAGGCTTAGAAAAGAAGTCACTCCTGGATCCAGTCAGACAGCTTTCCCCTTATCCCAAACTTGCTTGCTTACCACGTTCACCTTGGGTTTTATTCTCTTGGGTGCCTGACTTTTGTTAATGTTATGGTCTTTTATTCCTACGGGATGTGTGTAAATCTGGGGGTGAAGGTTTCACGGGGAAACTCCAATGGTAGCTCTAAATCTTAATGATGCAGCCAGGAAGATGGCTTAAGGGATACTAATGATTCTGGGATGGTAGCAGTTTTGCCACATGCCGGGTTGTCTCTTCCAGTGATGCACGAAAGTTCCAAGAAAGTGTCGGAAACCCTGCATGAAATTTACAATGTGGAATGGGATGGACATGGCGACTTGAAAGCCATTGCGGAGGTAAGAGATGGGATGAAATCTTCCCTTGGGCATGAAACACTAGCTAGAAAATCTTCATTCACTGAAGAGTGGAGTAATAAGACAGCTCGTCCAGTTAGGGCACTAGCCTGTATTTTGGAAGAACCAGGTTCAAGTCCTTGTTCTGCCACAGACTTCCTGTGTGACCCTGAGCAAGTCACTTAACCTCTTTTGGGCCTCAGTTACCTATCTATCCCCATCTCTGCTGTTGAGAGGAGCTGGCTTTCCAGAATGATACAGTTCCTGTTGTTCCTTTATTCTCTTGAGTTGGAGCTTAAGTCTGTCCACTTTTGCCTTAGCTTCTAGTTCCTGAAATCAAATATCTGCCATTCTTTGTTCATGTTCAAAACATTAGTGTTCTCTTTCAGCAGCTTCTCCTTCCATATCAGCAATTTTTTGCTTTTGTTCAAGTTCTAGCTGCTGGTTTCTCCACGTAAGCATTTTCCCTGGGTCTGCTTCCTTATCACTGGCAACTAACAGCTTTCTTAGTTCCTGCTCTGGGGCCTTTTTCTTAAAAGACAATCCCCTCTGTGAGCACAGTTCTTCCCGGCCAAACCCCATAAAGCGGGTGGATATTCCAATACTTAAATTTACCAAGCCAGCATAAAACAGATTCTTTATTACCTTACTGGTTACCCAGAAGTCCAAACAACGCAGTTCCCTTAAAGTGATCCAGCCTCACGCCCCCATCCAGGTACCCACATCAAATATGATGAAAATTTCTATAAATCTTATTTCATCATATAAAAGAAAAGGTTCGACCCATCCCAAAGGATCGGACACATCACCTCCCAGGTTAATGAATGTTTCAGATCTTACCCAAATACACGCTACAGCCAATTCTTAACAACTAAACTAAAATTTATTAAAAAACAAGAGAGAGAGAATATGGTTAAAAGATCAATATACAGACAGACATGAGCTCAATTCATTGAGGTGCAGATTCATAGCAGAGATGGTGAGCTTCGTAGTTGCAAAGAGTTCCTTTAGAATTCAGTGCATAGGTTATAGTCCAATGTCCAAATCTCACATTCAGGGCGTACCAGCATAACTGGGACCTCAGTCTTGCGACTCAAACTTCCCCTATGAAGTCTAAGCAGATCTGAGATGACAGAATCCGGACCCAAGGGTCTTTTATACAATTTCATGTCTTTTGACAAGTTGGAGTTCCTTAAGGAACAAAAGGTAATTAGGATGACTTTGAAGGACGTCCATCACTGGTACTTAGCTATACAAATTAACATAAGGCCATTTGCTTGTTCCGCCACCATTCACAGTACATTTCAGAGAGAGATGAATACTGAGATGTCCTGTGTCTACAATTCATTTACATGACAGGATGTTCTTTTGACCTCTGAATGATCAGAATACAGCATAGACAGGGACTGTTGATTTCATTGTCCACCCTACTCATGCATATGTAAATACACAAAAATTATCTCCCTACATGTCTTCTGTGGGTTACTTATTTTGCAGGATGTTTAACCCTTTCTAGCCATGCGTCACAGGGGATAATAGCTCTGCTCTACCTCCCAGGTGGGTTGTGAGGGGGAAAAAAATACATCAAAGAGCTTGAGATGCTCAAATGGACCATATAAGTACCTAAGGTGTATAGAAAAGGGATAATAGGCAACTTTCACTTTGTTCTGGACTTTCCCTAAGGTAGCCCCATGTGGATGGAGGCATGGATGATGATTTATATTACAGCAGCCCCTCAAAGCCACACTCCGAGTGAGCCTTGTTGTGGTAGGAGCTGGCTAGACTGGCGGTGGGTATTACAGATAAGTGGTTAGAGAGACAAGATGGCCGAGGCGATACCTTTTATTGGACCCACCTCTGTTGGTGAGAGAAACACACTTCCAAGCTGATGCAGAGCGGAAGTGAAAAAAGCCTCTTTTTCTTCAGCTCTGTGTCAGCTCAGAAGCTCCCCTCTCTCACCAACAGAAGTGGGTCCAATAAAAGATATCCCCTCGCCGACCTTGTGTCTCTCTCATATCCTGGGAGCAGCACGGCTACCCCAACGCTGCGTGAGACCAGGGGCTGTCCTTTTCAAAGCCAACTCAGAGGCTTAACATGAATAGAAGCTTTGTGCCTGGAGTCTCCAAATCCACCTGGAAGGTCTCACCAAGTTTTTGACTTCTGTGGGGTTTACTGACTAATTGAAAACACAAATGCACACACAGACCCAAGCACCGGTGTATCATTTGGAAGGATAATTATCTGGTGTGTTTATTTTATAATGAAGCCTTCAGTGATCCACTGACTCGAAAGACGAGCCTGAAGCATTAATTGTATCTAGTCATTGTACTTATGAGCATCCATCACTATAGTACCTGTATTTATCCTCACGATGCCTCCGTGAGGTAGGCAACCGCCATTCATCTCACGTGTAAAACTGAAGCACAGGGATGCTAAGCAACATGCCCAAGGTCATGCAACCTGTGGCAAACAAGGGGACTGAACCTGGGTCTCTCAAATCCCAGCCAGGCCCTCCAACCGCTGAACCATCCTGACCCGGACCAGTCTAGGGAACGGAGTGCGGCGGCGAGAGTCTAGGGACACAGCAGCCCTTCAAATGTCCCACGTGTGTTTATTTCCAGAGCAATGACCTCCTGTGGGAAGACTATGAGGAAAAACTAGCCGACCAGGCGGTGAGAACCATGGAGAACTACATGGCTCAATTTGGTGAAATTAAGGTACCGTCAAGTCTAAACGTAGGTTGTATTTTCAGAAAGTCGCACCCCGACCCCACTACAGAATAAAGTAGGAGGCTTTGCATTCACAGTAAACAGCACAGGATGGGCCCTGGGCAGCAATGTCAACAGATACTACACAGCTCACTGCGTACACAGCACAGTGGTAGGGACAATGCACCGTGTGCTAGGCGCAAGCTACATTGGTCATGAGGTGTTCCAGGCGTTCAAGGTACAGTATGACTGGGTGAGGTGAACAACACCCTTGAGCAGGGCTGTGGATAGATTCGAAGGTACAGAACAGGAGGGTATCGCTCACTGTGCTAAGGGCCTTCTCCTGAACTAACTCACCTTCCATGCATTTGGCTTCTGACCAGGAGCGAATTGCTAAACGGGGACGGAAGCTGGTGGATTACGACAGCGCCAGGCATCACCTGGAGGCGCTGCAGAATGCCAAGAAGAAGGATGAAGCTAAGATTGCAAAGGTAAAGGTTGCCCGTGCAGAGTAGAACCTAGGAGCCGCTCCCATGTAACTCAGAGCTTCAGCTCCATCCGGCCCTGATCAGTCCTGGCTTTTAGTTGGGCCTCACCCTGGCCTACGATACACACCTAATGGACACGATTTTGCACCTGCACCTATCTGCAGCGCAAATAATTCTGCCTGCAATGACCCTTGTGGAGAAGGTTCATTAAGTGACTTGCTCGTGTCATTCCACGTGCAACTATTTGTGCCGAGGGTTTTTGTGCCTTCAATGCTGAATACTGGGGTGAGTCCCAGATAAGCATCTCAAGGGGCCTTAAAGCCAGTCTCTGAGACAGGATTGGCTCTAGCTGCCCAAGGGACTTCCAATTACCTAGCGTATCTGGAGCTCCTGTGTGCAAAGATTCTTGTAGCGCCGAGTTCGGCTCTCACCTCGACAGCTCAGCTCGTCCGTTTTCCTAATGCCTCCTGCACATTGCTGTCCCCTTCCGTCACGCAGGCTGAAGAGGAATTCTACAAAGCTCAGGCTGTGTTTGAGGATCTTAACAAAGAACTTCGAGAGGAGCTCCCCGTTCTTTATAACAGGTAACGTCCCGTCCCTGCCTGCTAAACCAGCCGGAAAATCACCCTGCTTTAAAGAGCAGCGTAAAAAGGGCAAGTTAAATCTAGGAGAACTTGCATGTAATCAGGAGGATCTGGGGGAGCCAAAATGTTCATTTCCATGGTACACAGAGAGCGTCTCGTTCTTAATTCACAAGCAAAATTCAGCCTGCCGCCGCCCTGCGCTATGGCAGAGACAGGTCATAGCAGGGGTGCTGAATGGCAGAGAAACCTACCTGGGGAATGAGCTCCTTTATCCCACTGGTATATTTCCCTGATAGGCAATAGGGTTTAGTGTTCACATCTAGATTGGAGGAAAGTATGAGTAAATCTTTGACCCGTATACTAAACGCCTTCAATTCCGAGGTTCTTGCTGGGGATTAAGAAAAACAGAGTAACTTGTCTACCAAAAAAAAAATTAATCTGATGTGAGTTAAAATCTGGAGTTCTAATGAATATGGGTCCTTGTCACCCTTCTAGTTTCTAACCCCCAGCTTCTCAAATCTTACATGTTAAAACCACATCCTCTCTCCCCACCCCACAGAGAGCTGAATTGGGTGGAGGGTGTTGGTCCCAGGTCTGGCTGCTGCCTGTTTTGGAGACAGGGTGGGTGGGGAGACTAGATGAAGCAATTCCACACCCAAGGCTAGTTATCGTCTTGTCAAGCCATGCAACAATGTGATACACAATCCAATTCAACAAATCTATAGCACGCAAGCAAATATCTCCTCTTGCTTTACCAAAGAATTGTGTCCTAAGGAAAGACACTGGCCAAAATGTCGCTCTCTGAAGTTAGACGCTGAACTCTGCCTTAAGACGCCTAAAATTAAGTGTTCCAAAACAGGAACCCAAAATTCACAGCCAAATTTGGAAAACGTGCCCTTAACCTCACCTTCCTTTGTCCCGCTGTTGTGGGACTAATACACAGAGCGCTCTCTCGAGAAAGTGCTTTGAGAGCTGTCCCTGAAAAGTTCCGATGATTAATGACCAAAAGATGGCAGTAGAGGTTCACAAATGAGAATGAGGCCGATGTCCTGTGTAATAATACAATGAATGGTTTCAGAGTAGCAGCCGTGTTAGTCTGTATCCGCAAAAAGAAGAACAGGAGGACTTGTGGCACCTTAGAGACTAACAAATTTATTAGAGCATAAGCTTTCGTGGACTACAGCCCACTTCTTCGGATGCATAGTCTATATGCATCCGAAGAAGTGGGCTGTAGTCCACGAAAGCTTATGCTCTAATAAATTTGTTAGTCTCTAAGGTGCCACAAGTCCTCCTGTTCTTCTTAATACAATGAATTACATTTGTAGGTTTCTTTGTTTGAAAGGGCGACGATAAAAGGCTACGCAAACTGGAGGGAAACTATAGGATCTATCAGTTCGCAAGCGCTGCTGTGCGTGCCCCCTGTCATCCTGCAGTGTCTTTTTGATACCCAACTCCCTGCCATACCCATGGCTTTTAGAAATTATATTAATTTACTGACACGTTTTACTCATTTTAATTTGTAAGCAGTTTGTATTGGAAGAGAACCAGGCCAAGAGCAGTAGTTAATGCTAGTTTCCATCATGGTCTTACAGTTAAGATTCTGCCCTAGGTCTCAGACACTAGATCTCCGTATAAGTTCTTATATTGTCCTCAGATGTTACAATGATGAGCACTGTATAAGGACCTATATAGAATAGAAATCCCAGTAGACTGGAGAATGACCATTCCATTTTGTAACAACTTTCAAGGGTTCGAAGTTTAGGTTTTGCTCCACATTGGAACAAAACTAAAACCTTTCAAAGGTTTTTGTGACCATGGAATTGGGTTGAAATGTCCGTTTTGGATCCAAAAAAAGTCAGGTTCTGTCTCTCTTCTCCCCTGCTTCAGAAAGTCCATGCTGGACCTGAGCAGCCGTTCCGTCAAAGGCCAGTCGAAATAATGCGTTTTCGCAAAAATGTTTCGACTGCAACAACAAAAATATATATTTTTTTTAAGTTTTCCAGCCAGGTTCTATTCCTGGCACTGCCACAGATTTCCTGTATGCACTTGGGCAAATCACTTAACTGATCTGTGCCTCAGTTTCCCTACTTGCAAAAGGGGGAGTATGATGTCTGTGATCTATATTCTTAGATTGGGGGCCATCCCCATACTATGCGAGTGCTTCACAAATGTACCCGCACCATCCCTGTCAGGGAAATGTAATTCCCATTTTACAGATGGAGACCTGAGCACAGTAGAACAGTTACTTGCAGTGTTGGTGAAGTCATGCCAGTCCCAGCACATTCAAGAGACAAGGGGGGGGAGATAAAAGTGGACCAGTCAGATGTGCCACTTTACTCCTGCCTACCAGCCAGTTCCACTGGCAGCATGTGGTAGCTTTTGCATCAGTGCTCTGCTCAATTTGCCAGTTCTCCAGCTCGATTAGTTAAGTCACACGGAGAACATACCCAGCTCATGGAGCACCAAGACAGCTGGGAAAGCAAAGCAGGTATAGTTGAGGGGTTAATGTAATGGACAGGGAATCAGGACTCCTGTTCTCTATTCTTAGCTCTGCCATATACCCACAAGACCATTCATCTCTCTCTACCTCAGTTACCCCATCTTTAAAATGGCTACAGTAAACCTGAAGCTTCATAGTGCTCTGGCTGTAAAGTGATGTGAAATCTCACACAAAGAGAATCCACAGCTGTGCAGAGTGATTAGCATTACTAGTCCTAGATTTAAAAGCCAGAAGGGATCGTTCTGACATCAGGTCTGACCTCCTGCATACCCCAGGCCAAGGAACCTCACCCAGTAACTTCTGCATTAGCTCAAACAGAAGTTAGGGTCTTAAAGCATCTCTTTTTAAAAAGACAGACAGTTTTGATCTCTAGACGTCAAGTTATGGAGACTCCATCACCGCCTAAGGGTAAGTTGTTCTGCTCATCGATTACCCAATTGTTATTCCAACCTGTTCTTTTCATTTTTTCACCTTCTGTTCCTTTCATTGCATGGCATGACTCAATTTGCATTTTTGTTTTTCTTTCTGAACAGCCGCATTGCTTGCTACGTGACCATCTTCCAGAATATTTCCAATTTAAGAGACATCTTCTATAAGGAGATGAGTAAGGTGAGAGACTGGCCCGTAAAATAAGAACCTGTTAAATGACACACGGAAGATGTGTTTTCCTAGTAATGGGGTCTCAGTTGCTTTAAAAACTGTTCCTTTGAGCATTAACAATAATCACCCTCTGCTGCCACCTAGAGGACAGTTAGGAAGGTAAAAAAATAATCTGCGGGTTCTGTAGTCACCCACCTCTGGTCCTAGTTGTATTTTCCCTCCTCTCGCCAGGGCCAACAAGAGTGGGGGGAAGCCGGTACAAATTACTGGGGCCCGGCGGTCCGGAAGGGGGCCTGGCTTCCCCAGCCCTGTTTAGCCGGTCCGTCCTTGCTGGGGGGCCCGAAAAAATTTTTTCACTGGGGCCCGAACCGGCTCTCGGCGGCCCTGCCTCCCACCATGACTGGAAAGGTCTTAACAGGTCACTTCAACTTGTATGTTTCCTTGAAATATGTGTTAACAGCTTCTGCTAAACAATCTGCTCCATCTTGTATTTAGCTGTGACACTCTGAGTACCTTTCCCAGATCTGAAGAAGAGCTCTGTGGAAGCTCAAAAGCCTGTCTCTCTCACCAACAGAAGTTGGTCCAATACAAGAGATTTCCCTCACTGGCCTTGTCAGTTTATCCAAGGAATTTGTGTTCCCTCTACATATTGCTCTCTTGTTTGTCGGACGATCTGTGTTAACCAGACTTGTCACTAGCATATCCCAGTGCTGTCAGAAGAGCCTTGTGAACGGGGTTCTCATAGATAGTCATAGATTTTTAAAGGGACTCTTCGATCGTCAGTGCTTCTCAACCTTTCCAGACTCCTGTCCCCCTTTCAGGAGTCTGATTTGTCTTGCGTACTTGTGTTTCACTAAAGCATCTCAGAAAGGCGTCCTATCTTGATCTGAAGACCTCAAGATACCACTTCTCTCAGTAGTTTCTTGCAATGGTTCGATCACCCTCACCGTTCAAAAAATGTCTGCCTGATTTACAATTTTAAATTGTCTGGCTTTAAGGTCCAATCATTGGTTCTTGTTATGATCTGGTTAAAGGGAAGATTTGGAGAATGTGGGGGGCGGGAAATGCAGCCCCAAATGAAGGGAAGGGAGAATCAGAGGGCTCCTCATGGGCGGTGGGTGAACCCCGGGCTTGGGCAGGCTAGCCCCCAGCCTGACCTGCCCCTCCTGCCTGAGGCCCCACCTCTCCCCCCCCCCCAGCCCACCCGAGTGCCCCCCAGTCCCAGAGCACCAGAAGGGCAGGCGGGTGGTATGCTCTCCCTCCCCCTCCCAGTCCCGGAGCACCGGGTGGGTGGTGCCCCCCTCCAGTCCCGGAGCATTGGGTGGGTGGGTGGGCAGGT